GTCCATTTACCTACATGACACTAAATACAGAGCCAATTCCTGTTTTAGAGAACTGTGTTTTTACAGGGGCAAAAAAAGAAACATTTCACTTATTTTTCTACTACATAACTGGTATTCAGACAATCACCTTAAAAGCTTCCAATCTGGGCCACACAAAACACAAACAAGAAGAGCTCAACTCCCCCCCCCCCCCCACCCCTCCCTCTCTTTTTTTTTCTTTCCAAAGACTCCCTCAGATTTTTAGGATCCCATTAGCTCCTGCAGCTACCTATCCCCTAGCTTGCCTAATGGGTGCAGGGGGCATAGGAGGTGACAAAAGAACCAAAAAGGCAGAGCCCAAGCACCCCACCCAGAGGCTGGGCAGCACCTACTCCCCATTGCTAGGGTCTAACTTACCTCTGCTCATCTCAGCCCAGCAGTGAGTTTTGCTTTCATGAGAGCCTAATCCCTCACTGAAGGAAAAGAGGAGCAGCACCACTCTGCCCCTTTTAAGCATCCATGTTCACCTCAGTACAACTCAGAAAGAGAGGATACACTATCCAAATGATCTAGTGCAGTTTTCGCAAAGTGAATCCACAACAGCCTCAAGCTCCCCATTAGAATCACACTTGTTTACAGCCGGAGGACAGGTTACCTCCAGCAGAGGCTGCTCTGCATTCAGTACAATAGCTTACTCCTGATCACCTGAACATTTCATCAAGGGGAAAAACACGAAGATTGTTTTAGGCACATCCATCACCTTTCCTTAAATAGAATTACAGTACTGTTGTCAGAAACATTGACTGGCAGACTCCAACCAGCTTAGCACTCACGTCACAGCCTTCTGCACCATCTGATCTTGAATTAACATTTCTCAAAACATCTTTCACATAGCACAGCATCCAGGAGGGAAAGCTTTGCCAATGTGTATTTTGGCATATAGCTTTCAGATATTACTCTTTAGAATCAAAAATTGAGAGCTTCTGTGCAGGCAACATGTTTGTCTATCTGTCATATGCCATACCTGATACTTGCACCGCTATAACTAACAAAAGGAAGAATGAAGTGTGCTGGACTAAGAAGTTACCGCCATCACAACAAAAGAGAGATCACCATTCTAAATACATTAAACAAAATTTGGATAAGTGATTTTTGCCTAAGAACCATAATAAATGTTCCTAAGAATCTTTTTATAGTACAAACCACTCATGCAGACTTGCTTCTACTTTACAGTTCACATCTTAAGGCAGAAACTTTATTTCATTTGATTTATAAATATTTCCAGCAAAAAATCACTAAATGAAGATATGGACTAAAATCCATATATAAAAAAAGAATCATTCCAAAACTTACATCCTAATTTTTGTTTACTAGTTTGGAAACATATCAGCATATACTAAAGCAAGTGAATGAAATACTTTAGTACTTTTATATAATCTGACTCCATTAGCTTGCCAAAGCCAATTTTTTGATTCTTCACTGTCTGACCTAGAACTATATAAGTACAGCTAATGCAGTGGAAAAAAAGCTTGGGATGTGAAGATGCCACAAGAAATGATTTTTCAAGATAGTCACTTTTGATGCTAAACCAACATAGAATTCAGTGCTAAAGAAAAAAGCAAGATAATTTACTCAACAAAAAAGTTTAATCTAGAAGGTTCTTAGCTGGAGTAAAGGACTCGACAGTTGGCTCTATTAGGTCCATCTAAGCAAAGGTCAGGCACCAGCTTTCACTTGACTTCCTCTTCTATCAGGAGAGGAGAGAAACTTCCAAAAGATGCACCTTCCTCACAACCACATTATTTTGCAACAAGTTTGACCAAACATTTAAAAAGAACACAGGACTGCTGGTTATACATAAACTATTTCCTCATTTGGGTAACAGAGTCTTATCCCTGTCCTCAGCTTTCTCCTCTGCAGTTTGCTGAGATTAAGAAATACTGTTGATACTATAAAATACCCAAAACGTAATCTGGTAAATACTCAGGAATCTCAATACAGGAAAAGGCTAATGCAATCAAAAACAAAACAAGAAAAGCAGCAAATTTTGATCTAGATCAAGCTCTGCAGGGCAATGGGCTACTTAGTTTCAAAAAAAGCAGTCCATCTTCTAGTCTCAATCAAGCAAAGTTACTTAATTACAACTGGAGATTATTGAAGTGTTCTTACAACAAACTCAATTATAGATTAGATGAACTACATGTCTCAAAAATAAAAATCAAAAGCAAGTGTTTCAAATCCTATCAGTGTTTTGAAGAAGCAATATTTTTGGCTACAAAAATTTATACAAATTCCCAACTAAGAAGATACAGCATTAACTACTCCATTCAGAAAACATCTTATTGGTACGTCACAAAAAAACACTCCCTCAGGAAAAAAAAAGTTAAAGATACCCAGGAAAAAACAGAAAACCCACACACTAGATTTGGACATTTGTTTTGTTTATAATTAAATCAAGCAATTATTTACATGCATACAGCACTTTTCAAAGGCTTCAAGTACTCATATATATCTGTGCATTTCAGTAGGAAGAAAAGCATATCTAAACCTACAACACTCAACCACACTAAACTTGAAGTTGTAAAACTTCGAATTATATAGTTCAAATTATAAAAGCAATAGTAAATATTGAACTTAAAGAAAATGTGAAGAAGTCACGATTTGCTCAAGTTACTTCAATATCTTTAACTTCAGGCTAAGCTTTTGCTACAAAACAGGAATACCTTCTACTGCATGCTTTGTCTTGTATTGATCATGGTATTTAGTTACATACTACAAATAGAATGCTATTAAATAATGTATTGTTTTAATATAAATAAATTGCCAAACCATGAGTGAGGTGCCAGACCACTTTCTTCTCCTTTTAAGGATGCAAACTACTGCTGTGTCTTGAACACAGCAAGCAGCTCCGAATTAAAAGAAATATACAGGAAACTTTGGTGGTGCGGGAATCATAGCTACAGAACTGCAATCAGCAAAAACTGAAAGCTGGATTCTGAACAATCAAAGTCCAGTGTTACCATGCAGGAACAGCAAGCTGAATTATTTCTTTTTTTTTTTTTTTTGTCAGTTCAGCATACACAGAAAAAAATTTATTTCTACTTTCTACTTGCAGACATATTTTCAGCTTAGATAACACTCCAGAAGACAAAACTTGGATTTTTAACAACAAGCAGAAAGATAAGTTTAACGAAACTATGAAACAAGCACTTGTGACCCCTATCCTGGTATCAAACTTCAGGCAAATACTGAAAGAGCTGGACAGGTGAAATGGCTTCTAGAAAATCTGAATGTATTCCCCAAAGTGCGGAAATAGTGAAGGCTGATACAAGTTGTTCTTTCCCTCCCCCGCCCCACTTTTTAAAATAGTCACTGATTTCTCACAAAGTATAGAAATGTAATTGCCAAACTGAAATTAAAGTGGAGTGTCTTAATGAAAAAATAGTCACAATGGACAGTAATTCTTCAAAGACAAAGCTAGAAACCATGCTGTTCCACATTCATTAGTGAGCTGAGCAGAGGCTGAATGATATGATTAAAAGTTTACCAAGAGCACCCAGCTAATCTAGATCAATATGTGCAAACGGACACCTCATGATAGTGACTGGGCAACAGGACAGTGTTGATACATACCAGCCTTCTTTGGTGATACCAAGACAATTCCAAATTTACATATACAGCGATAAGCCTTAAGCTATTATCACACAATTCTTTCCTATCACAAATACATGATTGAAGATTGTCAGCTCAGTGTTCAGCAGCAGTTAGACAGCCTTATAAAGACTTAAGAGCATCAGCAGGCCTCCCCTTTTAGGTGGTAGGCAGTACAATTTAATAGGATTTGTTGCCTACTTCCCCTTCCTCCTCCCTTCACAGGGCAGTGCAATGATTCAGTGTCCATTTTTGCTTAAGCTGGCCTTTGTGTTAAATGCTGCAATTCATCAGTTAAATCACAGACTTAATCTGAATTTCTGTCGAAGGTTAAGCAACCTGAGTTCAATGTCCCCATCACCCTATGCCTACAAAACAAAGGTCCTGAAGCACCAGCTCTGTAGACATATAACCCAACTTGTTCAGTGCATTGTCTCAAGTCATTTCTTTTAGGTATAGCAAGAACATTTCAAGAACAAAGTGCAGCATTTTGGTGTGAGGAAAAGTTCATTGTTTAAAAACCACCTCTGTTTTTGCAGTTTAATTCTATATGTTTTAAATATTAACTCTCAGTGAAGGCAAAATGCCAAGCTGTAACTCAACTAATATTTAATGAAGAAGCTATTGTTATAGTGAGCTGTTATTAAAAGACAGCCTTTTAAGAACACTTACTGCTAGCAAAAGATGAAGCTTCCTAGCTATAAATAGCACTTCTATAAGCAATGCTTGAAGGAGTTCAGTATAAAAATATTTACCTGCTTAGATATTTATCTATTGTTTGTATTCCTGTAACACTTGACTTTCAAGTCCCTTAACTCTAGGTAAAAATATAAGCAACCAAGTTCACTGGAAAAGGAATCATCAGGAAGCTGAACTCAAATGCTGATGAGGAAGTACTTGAACAAGGGGACAAGAGCCAGTATCAGATACAGTAAGAGGAGCCAAAAGAAAACAGATTAGCTTAGAACCAGAGTGATAATCTAGGAAGATAGACTTTAAAGCTAACAAGGTTAACATCTAGAATAGAGAAGAAACAACTCAATACTCAGTGAGAGAAGATGGACAAAGTTAATCAAAAACATACAAATATAAAACAACTTTTTTTAAGGTAAAGAAAGGCTCAAGAAAGGGTCAAAGGTGTTAACTCTCACTTCTCTAAACCCTTATCTGCAAAGGATAAAAAGTCTACTTCTGGTGAACTTATTTAACATTATACTTCCATGTCACAGCTTTTGTCAGGTATCTGTACTGCGAGTACTTTTAATGATAGTACAAAGCTCTCTACAAACACCACACTGAGTGAGAATTCAAGAAGAAAATATATCAAAAACAACACAAAACAAAAAAAAACTCAAAACCCAAAAACATACCTTGTGTTGCTCTATCGCATCTACCCACTGCTGTCTGTGGTCTGGGTCCTGAGCTCGGAGGTACCAAACACTATCATTCACACTAATATCAAATCTGCATTCATCGAAGTCATGGGGCTGTGAATGAAAAATGTAAGAGTAGTCAGAGTTAGCAATCAAAAATTTCACAGAATATTTCTTATAATATAAAAGAATAATATAAAATATAATCATGTAAGACAACTCGTGATCGAATTTGCCTTAACTGCTAGATTTTCAACTTTGTTTTCTACAGACATCCAAAATAATGAACATAACTGATAATAAAAAATGCCAGTCTTCTGAAACAAAAAAGCTAAGTTAATAGATCTTAGATGAAAGGATACAAACATCATAGCTGACAGCATCAGTATATAACAATAAAAACAAGATTACAACAAGGAAAAAAGTCACAGCATCTTCTGCCTCCATCTCTTATTTCCACCACCTAAAGACAGGGCTGTCAGATAATGGGAAGCAACTTGTAAATCCCTCTCATACCACCACTCAAACACACCTAGCTTGCAGTTCACATGGCTAACGTACTAGAAAGCTTTTACCCGCTTGGATGCGGTCCTGTGCCACATGCTCTAGGTGACCCTGCGTGTGCAGGGGGGTTGGACCAGATGACCTCTAAAGGTCCCTTCCAACCTTAAGCATTCTATGATTCTACTAATACTGCAGTGAAGCTAGTCGGGAAACTATAGGGGAGCAAGAGAGCCATCTCATTTGCCTAGTGCCCAGACACTGTCAGTTCAAAATCCTGTCCTTAGCAAACATCCATTGTAAAGCCTAGCAAGATGTTTTTTTTTTTCTCCTCACCAAGAATTATTCTTAAAACAAAAACGACGGCTGCAGGAAGGTAACAGGCTCTAAAGTTAAGGAAAATGGTGCGACTATGAGAACCATGGATATGGATCCCTAATACCAGAGACTATACAGCTTAAGAATTCATAAGAACTGTTCTACGATATGTTCATTAACATAGCATACAACTGAAACACTCCAAAAAAGTCAACTTAACAGTAAATCAAATCTGTTGCATCATGGACAAGTCGACCATGTCCATGAAATTTCTTTTCAAAGCATCTAGAATGCCAAGCTACTTTCACACAGTAGAGTTTTTCTTATTTAGATATATTGAGAAAATAAATAGGACAAAAAAAAATGCCAAAGAGCTAGGAAGAGGTTTAAAGAAAAGTACATGAAGTACCTGCCCTCCCTCCAGCTTTGCATACTTGGTAAAGTATTTGAACTTTAAATTCCCCTTAGGAAAGTCAACAACTAGTCACATGAATCTAGCTACTAATTACTTACTCTGACCACCATAACAATTCAATTTTAAAAAATTTGAAACACTAGTTATATACTGCTTCATTTTCACTCAATCACAGAACACAGGGATACAGGGGACAAAGCCCTGGCCCTTTTTTCATATTTGATCATTATTCATTTCTGTATCAGAGTTGTTTGATCTAGTTTAAGGTAGCAAACCTATCTGCCTTATCAAGTTGTCAAGCTTATGAGCCTGTGCACAAGACATCCCTTTATCAGGCCCTCCTTTGATCATGTGATGGAAGATATACACACAACAACCACAAAAAGATCTCCCTGGAAAACAAGCATGCAAATATCTAAATTGTTCCTCCTGTGGCACTCTCTTCTTGCTCTCTTGCCTCTGCCCCTGGTCTTTGGGAGGATTTGAAAGGAACCTATCTAGCCCATTGGATAGCCCTGACAAAACTCATAAGTCAGGAGTGCTAGTTAACTGCACTCCCAGAAACAACTTGTTCCAATGCACAGCTATCAGTCTTTAGGTTAGAGATGGCAATTTACTCTGATTTAAGATTACTACACATCTTTGTCCTATTCAAAGGTAAGATTATGTATTCCCTTTCTTTGCATAGCAGCTTTTAATATACGCCTCTCAGACAAAGAGGAGAAATACTTACCTTATGGTCTAGTCAAACCTTTCAAACACCTTTCTGGGCTGCGCATGGAATGTGCACTGCTGCCTTATTCAATAGAAGATGGGGAAGTTAGGAGGAGACTAGGCAATATGTAAGAAAGTGTAGGGTTATATCCATCCTGCTGTGCAAATTCTTATTACAGAAAAGCCAGTCTAACAGGTGGTCCTGTTAAACAAGTTGCTTAAAGAAAGCAATCTTCACTAACAATGTTTAATAGGCATGACTCAGCTCTTGACAAATACACATTACCTATTTACCATCATACTTGCTGTCTATTTTTGAGTCTTTTCCTGGCAACTTAAGTCAGTCTCATTAATTCATTTTCCTCCTTTTCTTCTACCTCCTTCTAAGAGGTAAGCTCCATGAGAATCTCATCTTTCACTTCCAACTAATTCTAAGTTCTCTCCTATGCATTTTACCAAAATCAAATAAAATACCAGAATCCCATGCAACCTTTTCTTAGGCCAGAACAAGTCAAGTTACTGTCATTCAACCCTCTTCTCTCAACTTAGAATGAGTTCATACTTCATTGCGTTAATAACTTGGCAGATAGTTAAATACGTAACATGTTTGGTATCATCTGTTATCTTCCTCTCAGCAAGTTTGCAGCAGGCAAACTCTTTGGTTTTGCTCTTACTATAAATATGCTTTTACTGTTTTCTCTAATAGCAGAAATAGACGAGACCATGAAGCATCTATCACCCTTTCTTAGGTCTGTCCTTGATTCCGAATACCTCCTCCATCTCCTTTTACTATCTCTTTAATACTGCTTTAAGCTTTTCCATTTGTTTTTCCTCTCCCTCACCACATGGCATCTTATATACCTCACTTCATTTAGATCTCCTTTTCCTGAAGTTCACAATTTGTAGCCTACTACTCACCCTCCTTCCTGGCCTTGGAAGCAATTATAGAGAGACATAGTTCTCAGTCACTCAGCTGACAAAATGCTGGAGAAAAATAGGGATTTCCAAAGGTAAAAAGCTAAGAACTTGTGCTGAGGCCACAACATGTCCTACTGCTCCGATTCCTTTGCAGCTAAAGGGCTCTAAAGCAAAAAAAAAAAAAAAAAAAAAAAAAAATTTTTTCAGTCATACAGGGAAGTAAAAAGCAAGTAGAAATCACTGCTGTCTACCCTCAGGATGTAAAGCAGGCTGAAAAATTTCAGCTGCTTTTTTTCCTACAGCTCCCCAGCAGTCTCAAGCAGCACCCAGCCATACATTATGTGAGAGTACACTGGGGAAAAGAGGGTCCAGCAGACCAACACAGAATGAGAGCCTCTGAAAACCTTTACAGAGTTTTCAAAACTGAGGTTGGTAGACTGTCTTATGGCCTGTGTATGCCAAAGGCTCCTTTAAAGCTAGTATTTCAAAGAAAAATACTTAAATCATAATTCCATACAGAAGTATTCTACTTGAAACACTGCACCAGTCTGTAGTCAGTGCAGTGCAGTCAGCAGTCATCCCCAAGTATCCTTTCTGTGTCCTTCCTATCTTCTGAGAACCATCTGTAGAGTTCTGACAAAATAAAGGCAACTGGAAGAATTCAACCTTCACAGATATCACTGTGTAAAGCCAACTGATATTAGCTCCTAAACAAGCCAGAACTGTTTACATGAAGAAACATTTACTTGGCTACAGTTACTGAGGAAGTCTGCAGCTAGCTCAGGCATCATGAGTCATCAGTGAGAGCATGGCCACAGAATCCTTCCTGCTGCACAGCTCTCGAGTGCGAGGCAGTCATGAGACAGCTTCAGAGCATCTACTTGAAAACACCGGTTTAAGTGAATCACATAGGGATGTAAAAGTTTTCATATAGTCTGCAAGTTTACAGAATATCAGGAAATCAAATACTTGAATGAAAAGCCTCTTGTTTATCAGTCAGTCTGTCACACTACTCCAAATTGCACACTGCTTCCCCACCAGTGGGAACATCGCCTTGATCCTTTGGAGAGGAAAACCAGTTCACAGTAGAGTCAAGTCAACTCTGCACATCACCATTATCAGCTAGGCCTGTGCTGCCATCCATACTGCACAACTGCAACTAATTTACAGTAAACTTGGCTTTAAATTTCTAATTTTCCTCTACTAAAAACATAGGAAAAAGGGCACCAGGACATTAGGCATTAATGCAGAAAAAGTAATCACCATACTTCAATTCTCTCTCAAACAGGAAAACAGCATAAACATGATAGTAGCGGTATGTTATCTCTGCTAGCTCCAGAATTAGCAGAACAATATATAAACTGCTATAAACATATCTGCAGCTTGCAACACACTAGTATTACATACTGCAACAACAGATATAAGCCTGGTAAGAATATAGCACCTAATTCAGCAATACAAAACAACTTATCCCTTAAATTTTTTTGTGCCTTTTTTTTTTTTTTTTTTTTTTTTGCAAAGGCATTTTTTTCATCCAAGAAAAATATTTAGTATAGCTGCAGCACTTGATTTTGCTCACAGCAAAATGCACAAGCCTGTTCACCTTCTGAATCTACTTCTTTGTCTTTTACTATACTCTGGAATTATGAAGTTCAGGCAAGTTTGGAAACCCATTGTTCTTGAAGTCATATTACAGAAAGCTTCCTAATGTTAGCCTTGGTATTCAACCCGCTAGAGAAATACATTATTTGCTTTTTGTGGATTGACTTAGCATAGCCAGAAGAACTCATAAAAAAAAAAAAAAAAATGATACGCATACAGGAGTAATTTCATAATCAAAACAGTACAAAATACTCTTAAGGGAATTATCAGAGAGAATATTTAAGGATAATCTCTCAGCTTTTAATTACTAAAAAAGACTTTAATAGTAAAACCATCTTTTTGTTTTCTTCTGGTAATATTTATAAATCAAAGCACATTAGCGAAACATTCCTCACTTTCTTCCTATAGACTTAATGATGGTTTTAGTCCACCACCAAAAACAAACACCACCAAAAACAAACACGTTTCACAGCAAGCTGTCCTAATTGAAAATTAAGAACTTGAATTCATTTTTTTCCTATTTAAAACATGCTTTTCTTAAAGTCACCTAAGCTTTTATGCCTTAAATCAGTAAACTTAACAGACTCAGCACCTGGAGCTCTTCACTCAAAGTCAGAAATCATCTTCCAACCAAATTATCCACCAT